GGGGGGCGGCCGCTTCTTCTTCAAAACATTGAGTTTGGATTTCTAAATGAACAAATGATGTCTCGGTGTTTTCACTCATGATCACTGGCTGTAAGTAATCAGTAAATAAGTGTAGCACCGCTCCCCAAATGAAACACAAGAGCTGATCATTCTGAGTGACGTCTCTAATGCAGAGAACTGTTTAGCATTTCGCAAAAAGCTTGTTTTTCAATTGCAAACCGAGTAAAGCAGATCATGTGCTTGCAGTTTTGCAGACTTGGTGTGAGGATTCGGTACATGAGAGAATGGTTTCACCGAGTGAGCCTCAAGTGCAACTTTTAGTGTGTAAGCAATTTTAAAACACTCTAATGGAAAGTGGCTGCATGTGCACTAACAGCCAGACGACGCATCTCATCTCTTTTGTAGGTGGTTGGACGGAGCTGCATAAATCACGCAGAGTCAAAACACAGAATGAGGGGGACATTCATTTGATCTCCAGCGAAAAGGCTGGATCTAAATACAGCTGCTGGCTCAATAAAACACGCTGCTCTTCCAGCAGAGGTAATATAAACCATCGCCCCCAGCCTCACGCCGCTTATGCAACACATCCAGCCGCCTCAGGAGAGCACGGACATGTTTACTGTCTATGATCTGAGCGCACAGCATACTGCGGTTGGACCACATAGTAAACACAGCGTGAGCCCACGGCCTCCTAAATCAAGCTGTGTTTGTTTCAAAACATTGAGTTTGGATTTCTAAATGAACAAATGATGTCTCGGTGTTTTCACTCAGTGTTTTCACTCACGATCACTGGCTGTAAGTAATCAGTAAATAAGTGTAGCACCGCTCCACAAATGAAACACAAGAGCTGATCATTCTGAGTGACGTCTCTAATGCAGAGAACTGTTTAGCATTTCGCAAAAAGCTTGTTTTTCAATTGCAAACCGAGTAAAGCAGATCATGTGCTTGCAGTTTTGCAGACTTGGTGTGAGGATTCGGTACATGAGAGAATGGTTTCACCGAGTGAGCCTCAAGTGCAACTTTTAGTGTGTAAGCAATTTTAAAACACTCTAATGGAAAGTGGCTGCATGTGCACTAACAGCCAGACGACGCATCTCATCTCTTTTGTAGGTGGTTGGACGGAGCTGCATAAATCACGCAGAGTCAAAACACAGAATGAGGGGGACATTCATTTGATCTCCAGCGAAAAGGCTGGATCTAAATACAGCTGCTGGCTCAATAAAACACGCTGCTCTTCCAGCAGAGGTAATATAAACCATCGCCCCCAGCCTCACGCCGCTTATGCAACACATCCAGCCGCCTCAGGAGAGCACGGACATGTTTACTGTCTATGATCTGAGCGCACAGCATACTGCGGTTGGACCACATAGTAAACACAGCGTGAGCCCACGGCCTCCTAAATCAAGCTGTGTTTGTTGAGCCAAAGGCTGGGAGGAATCTCGCTCAACATCACTAGAGAGGAATTCACTCGTGCAAAGAAAAAGATGCAAAAAGATGCAACAGAAAGTCATGATATGAACTCAGGAGTGAGTGAAGCAACTACGCTGCACAAAATAACAATACATACAAATACCTAAACATTCTTACATCAAGATACATTTAATGTCTTAAGATATTAGTGACCCTGGAGCACAAAAGCAGTCATAAGGGTCAATTTTGTGAAATTGAGATTTATGCATCAGCTGAAAGCTGAATAAATAATCTCTCCATTGATGTATGGTTTGTTAGGATAGGACAATATTTGGCTGAGATACAACTATTTGAAAATCTGGAATCTGAGGGTGCAAAAAAATCTAAATATTGAGAAAATCATCTTTAAAGTTGTCCAAATGAAGTTCTTAGCAATGCATATTACTAATCAAAAATTAAGTTTTGATATATTTATGGTAGGACATTTACAAAATATCTTCATGGAACATGATCTTTACTTAATATCCTAATGATTTTTGGCATAAAAGAAAAAATCTATAATTTTGACCCATACAATGTATTGTTGGCTATTGCTACAAATATACCCCAGCGACTTAAGACTGCTTTTGTGCTGCAAGGACACATTAGGTCTTGTTTTATGAAAAATGTATCAAAATTAAGTGAGTTTTTGCTTAAAAATAATCTTGTTTTTTCTTTGAATTAAGTTTATTTGTTCAACCCCACTGGCAGATCTTTATTTTTATTTTTTAGGCAAAAACCCAATTAATTTTGACTTAATTAAGACTTGATATTTTGTTTATTTATTAAAGCTCTTACCTTGTAGAATACGCATGTTGACAAGCTCAGATTTCTCTGGTCGACTTCTGATTTTGTGCTTTAAATAATCTCCAGTCTGCAACATCAAATATTATAAAACACTAAATAAAATGAGTTGATTTTTACACACTTTCACAGTACTTCTGTAGAGCTGCTTTTATAGCTGAACTGAAGTTCAAAATGGTCAACTAACCTTAAAAATAAATAAATAATCAAAATTTATAATATGAATTATGTTGCATTTAAAATAATTGTAGGTTATTTAATTTAATGAATTTAAACAGCAAAAGAAATACTTTGCAACACTGACACTTATTGAACTGAATAGAGCCAACACTGAATCATGACTCTGTTGTCTTCTAGAGAGCTGCTTTACAGATGAAACTGAACTGGTCTCATGTTTGATGCAGTTTGCATCAGTGATTCTGGTATTGTGCTGTTTATCGCTGTGAAGCAGCTTTCAAACAATCTGTGTTTTATAAAGTGTTGTAGAAATAAAGGTGACTTGATTTGAGCAAGATCTTCTTTGTGATGTGGTTGTTTGTTCTTTCTTCTAACCTTGGATCGCTCGAGACTTTTCCTCTGTTCGTGGAACGCAGCCGGACTCTTCAAGGCTGGAAACACAAACGAGAAACTGCGTAAACATGATCGTTTATCTGTGAACACACTGTCAATGAATCTTACATAAATCATCTCTGCCAGCGTCTGATCCGGCCTGTGTTTCTCTGCTGAAGCTGGATTATAGTCCTGAATCAGACATGTGCAAAATCACCACGAACACTGAAATATCACCTCACTGAAGAATGCAACCAATCGCATAATTCCAGCCGTTGCAATGTAAGCTGCATTATGATTGATGAGAGATATCGTGTGCTAGAGCTGGAGGGGTGTGCCATACATTCATAAAACACACACTAGAACGACTGTCACAAAGTCACGAGCAGAAAACTTGACACGCGTTTTCTAGACACTTTTCCTGCTATAGCACAGCTACACTTTCCCACATGTATTTACATCAGTATCTATTTAAATGCTTAAAAAAACCTGTTTATCTGAGCTTGTCGACCTGTTGTCTGCCATAGAAAGATAAAGAGCCATTGAAAGTCTTTTTTAGGAGCTCAGACACCGATCTGTGTGGTTTATCTCCAGCTGAAATCCACAGACTGATTCTTCTCTCAGCAACATCTAATCACAGTCCTGACTCAATCTGATCAGACATATTGTATATTTATGAAACCTAAAGCAAAGTCTCAGATCTCTGTTGTGTGTTTTAGCAGCTGTTTTCTTTAACATCTCCATGCGTTTAGCTGAATTATCTTACTCTGCTTTGACTATACGACTCAGTGGTATCAAAAATACATAAAAAATGCAGTTCATACATGCAATGTCTTGAAAGCAGCTCTTCTGTGATGTCTGAATTAAATTAGTTTCTATATTTTGAAATCATGATGATGAAAAAAAACGAATTAAATACTTCACTTCTTGAAAAGTAGTTTACCAAGACCCATTTATCATAAAAAATGAACAAAACCTTTGTGCACAAAATCAAAGTCGTGAGGTCAAACCAACATGCAGAATCAAAACAGGAAATTATGTCATAGAGATGAGCACTCCTGCAGACTCCTAAAATACTGGATAATTTCACCTTTTCATGACAAAACTAATTATATAAAAAAAAAAGTAACACA